AGTCTTCTGTGAAACAGTCACATATAGCTACCAAGATTAGTATGAGAAGCAAACTCACGGTAACAATTGTTCCGATGAATTCAATTGGACTAACAACCATATTGTTTCTTCAACACACCAAAACTTGTCTTCTCTAACTTTTTTTTGTGTCTTCTTTTTTTTTAGCAAGGATATTTTGTATAAGATGAGTAATATATTAATAGAGTATATATACATGTTCTAATTGCCTTATATCCACAACTTGGCGATCAAAATTAACATAACGAAAAAGTTAACATAACAAAATCGAAAAACAAAGAGAAAGAATTAAGTTAACATTAAAAAAAAGGAAATTTAAGTGAGTGGGGTAGTTTTTAAGTTTATATGTAAGAGATTGGGTAGTTTAGATTAGGGTTTAGGAAAAGGGTGGTTTCTACTGTTGGGTGTTCGATTATATCCCTGACCAACTCGATTATTTAGGAAAAGGTTGACTGGTCATGAGTATAATATTTCCAGTTTTAGGTAAATTATTTTATTTATTTGTTCAAAAAAAAAAGTTAAATTATTTTATTTCGTTTTTCTTTAATTAAAAATACGAAAAGTGTACAAAAACAAAAAGATGTAAATTGAACCCAATGCTCATTGGCTATTTAAACGGGGTAAAACCAGATTTTTGTTTTTAAGGTTTTTTGGTTTTTGATTTTAGTTTCGTTTTTTTTTTTTTTTTTAATTATTAGACGTTTTTTCAATTTTCTATTTTAATTTTTAGTTTCTGTTTTGTTTTTAAAATTTATTAAATCAATTATAATTAAAAAGTTAAAAAAATTACAAATGCTCAAAAAATATGTCACGTAAATTTGTTGGAGGAAACCCAGAGAATTTAGTTTTTGGATTATGTGAACAAATTACCAAAATCTATTAAATTTCATATTCCTTATTTTTAAAATTTACTTTTGTCATCCTCGTTAATGGCAGTAAATTAGTTTTTGTAAAATCAAAAATTCAAAACAACTTCAAAATCTGCAGGCATTCAAAACAACTTCAAAATTTGAAGGATCACATTATAAACAAAAAAAATTCCACTCCAAAATGAAAGAAATTGTATTACCCAAAATTGTTCAGTACCCCAGATTGTTCACCACTATATTAAAAATGGTTGTCCTTTATAATGAGTATTGAGTAGGAAGTGGAGTACCATTGAAACTACACTCAAAACCGGTCGTAATTAACAACCCAATAATTACAAATCCTGGTTGAATTTTAAATTGCTATGCTAGCTATACACAGGGTTCACTCGACCGATAGTTAATTAAGCTGATAGCTTAAAACCAAACTGATTATATTTAGCTTATACTGTTCTATCAAAAATGTAAGTAACTTTGAGAAAATATGTCATGAGCATAACCCACAACATGAAACTACACTTTTCACAAAAAAAAAACATGAAACTACACTTTTCACAAAAAAAAAAAAAAAACATGAAACTAGATGTGAACATATTCGAAATTTGGAATCACGCAATATCATTTGATTTTCCGGAAAATGCTTGTTTAGTGTTTTCCTAAAGTCAATAGTAATATTTTTGTCCCGAAAGAAAAATCTCATCATTTTTAGCAATGCTAGGACAAAACGAAAAAAAAGATAGATCTAATATTTGCACCGAAAGAAAATATCATCGTAAACAATGCAAAGACAAAAAAAAAAGTCAATTAAGAAAATATATAACACTTGGATTCTTTAAAAGAAATTAAGAACAAGAAAAACTAACACGGTGATATGGACACATTTAATAATTTAATATATGGTTTTAAAGAAAATCATACAAAAAAATTAGATTTCAAGTGGTTATCTTTCCACCACGGCAGTACGGGGGATCGTCGGAATTATTAGGTATGAATGTAAATTTTGAGTTAAGGTCAGATGTTCGTATTAAAAATAAATTTCAAAGTTGTGACTTTAAGTTTCTACTTGTATATTATATTCAGTTGTTGGATGAAATATAAATTAGCTATATTTTACTGCAAATAAATAAAGTTTCTTGTTAAAGCTAGCAAATAAATACATTTTTTTGTGAGGCCAAATTCCTCTAAAACATTTTTCTTTAAATGTTTAAAAATATATAAAGGGGAAATATATTTTCTAGTGCTTTTGGTAAATAATGCATCTATGTTGTTAAGTCGATTCTTTTAAATATATTTCCTATTCATATCATCATTTTATTGTCTTTGTTAGAGTCATATCATCATTTTATCAAAACCAAAATACTGAAATCTTGGAATTCAATTCTTATTTAGGTGCGCCTATCTTCGATTTTGAACTCCAAGACATTTTTTTTTTTTTGGCTCCACTCAAAGACGTGTTTGTTGTAGTCCGCTAAGTTTAGATATTTATTTCTATTAAATGAACACTTAAAACTATATAATAGTAATCCATATTTCGCTGATGTTAAAGGATCGTCATTTTTGTTTATTCGCCATAAGTATGGGTCGTCTTGTGTAGACGTTACGTTGACTTGACAATCACATTTTTTTAAAAAAAGATTTACGAAATGTACATTTTTATTGACTTTCATCTTTGGAAGCTTCGTATTTTTCATACGGATTATAATTAGTGGTTCCAATTAAAAGTCAGCCCTACGATGCCTAGTTAATCCCAATCACACATTTTCATTGTTTAAATTTGTAAAGAACTCGTTAAATGTTTCGCTCGTCATTAACAACGGAAAATACGAAAATCATTGACAAACAGAAAATGAAACTTTGGAACTATTTTTGATCCATGAAGAATTTGATTTTTTGTCAATTGATTATAAAAATTAGAATGGTTTAGAAATCCAACCCCGAAAAAAAGAAAGTTTACATAAAGAGTTCTCATGAAAAACCTTTCTACTTTATAACAATCATCAATTAAATAAATGTTAGTACATTTGATCAACCTAAATCTTTATGCCAAACTTGTGCTTAGACCCAAAACTCATCTTTAACACTGCGGTAACACAGCTTAAGCCATGCATGTAATTCATAATATTTTACAACAACCTTACCAACGTATTAAAAAAAAAAGAACTAACTAAAATGTTGAGAAAATGCAACTAAAAATAAAACGAATAAATAAATATAAATTATTGACACAATTGCCAAAGATAAAAAGAAAGTTTACACAAAGAGTTCTTATGACGAAACTTATTATAAACAAAAAAAAAAACCATCTACTTTATAACAATCATAAACTAAATAAAAGTTAATTAGTACATTTGATCAACCTAAATCTTTATGCCAAACTTGTGATTAGACCCAAAACTCATCTTTAACATTGCAGTAACACAGCTTAAGCCATAATATTTTACAACTACTTAACCAACGTATTAAGAAAAACGAACTAAGTAACGACACATGAATCAGTTATATCAACTGAAATGTTGAGAAAAAACTAAAATAGACTAAAACAAAAAATAAATATAAATTACTCATATTTTAGAAAATTAGAGTAACGCAAAAAAAAAAACCATTGATATTTCCACGAGAACAAAACTGGTTTACTCTTACTTAAAGTCAATAAAACATTTCTCGTCAAAGACATACATATTTTCAACGATCCTAGGACCACAAAATAGTTCAAGCTGACAATAAAAAAAAATATTTCAAACTTCTTCACAAGAAACAAAGAGGACGAAAAATTAACAAAGTGAAATGGACACATAATATGCATAGGGAAGATGATTTTAAAAGAGAGGATGTAATTTGATTGGGCAGCTATTTAATACTTTTTTCATATAGTTTGCACAAACGTCAATTTGATTGCCTAAACGTCAATTTCATTTTGATTCTAGATATGTCAAATAGTTTTATTTCCAACAAGGTTGTAAGTAGTAATATGGTCTTTGAAATATTTTTAAATAAGTCTTTTGTAGTTTGCTACATATTTGACATATATGGTATTTTTTAAATAAATAAATAACCAAATGAGAATTTTGCGTATAATATAGATGTATATTACAAAAAGATGTTATTTAAGTATTATTAAAGTTAGCTACTATAGATTTTAAGCTTATTTATTAGTTTTTTTTTTTTGGGTAGTCAAGTGGTATTAACACACCTTTTCTTTCCTCTCACTTAGTAAAAAATATAACCCACCAAAAATTGGGTTTGGTGACATTGAGGATATAGCTCGGCAAATAAACTCTGGTCAATCGATCATTTTGACTAGATTTATTTTATTGCATATATTTCATAAATTAATAATGTAATGTTTTCGATTTGTAAGCTCCGCTTATGGTCGGTTTACTATTAACAGTGGTCTCAAAAACTTGTTTCTGATCTTATAAATCATTACGTGATTTTTTTCTTTGTTAAGTCTCCACTCATATGATATCAAAAATTATTTTCTGGTAGGTTATTTATTCTAAAATCGCTTCATCTCAACTATTTAAAATTTTTTTAGGATGATTGACCGAAAATATAAATGTATTTTGATGGTTAGATAGCCAATCAAATTCTTTTAGATAATAATTTTCATGTACCATCATATTTTCTGAAATCGAAGTGTTACAAATAAAACTTTAAATTTAAATTATTAGGTTATATATTGTAACAATAATCTTTTTTTTTGGTAGGGGGTACAATTTATTAGGTTATATATTGTAACAATAATCTCATAACATTTCCAAATACTATTCAATATTTCATTTACAAGGACTTTTAATATGTATACACGGCAATATCATAAAATTATGGTATTCGATTTTCATATTCAGTTATCCAAAATCTTAGATTTATTTCTTCTACTCATTCTTTCTGACTATATTTGTTCATAGATATATCTTTGCAAGGGTGATCCAAATTCCCCAGTGGATCACCACATACGTAAATTTAATTCTGTATCATAGAGCTTAATGTAACTAACATTTACACATTGTCACGAGTCATGCACAATCCGAACATAACCCACCATTCGTATCATCGTATGCATGGTAAAATAGAAAAAAAAAATCCATATGCAAGAATCTGAAAATAAGACGTTGGTTACAAAACTTATTTCATTAAAGAGGTTGAAAATAGCGAAATAGATTGCTACAAAAGTATACAAATGGGGAAGACGGGAAATGTTTAAAAAAAAAAAAACTATAAACTCTCACATGTTTATTATATCACTTAAACAAATTCAGATTTAAACATGAAAATCTAGTTTACATGCATTTATTCAAACGGTAATGATTTTAAAGAGAACACTGTGCGCATGAGTAGTAAGGATAACTGCTGATATCGTATCGTTCAAGCACATTGGAAGCCAGACGGAAGCCTTCTGTTACAAACGTTGAGAAGAACGCTAAGAGATATAGGAACGTTAAGGTTGATACCGAGAACGTTAGCCCTAAGAGCAGTGCAGAGGCAAATCGCAGCATCGAGGTCAACCAAACCTTGGATGAGCGAGCAGCATGGCTGAGCTGATGGCTGTCCCAACTGCACGTTAAGTAGACCGCTTAGGACATTCGCACATACACCGAGTCTGAGAGCATCGATAGGACAGTTTCTAGATGAGCCTGGGGTGCTCGGAGTTGGGACCGAAGGAGTTGGTACGGAAGGAATTGGGACCCTAGGAGTTGGGACCCTAGGACTGTGCTTAGGACTTGGGTTGCATTTACAATCAGTAGCAACGGTTAAGGTGAAAAAAAGGATGTTGAGGGCAAAGAAAAGAGCAAGAGAGGCTGAGTTCTTTGAAGCCATTGTTATTTTTCTTCAGTGTTTTAAGGATTATTGATTGTGTTTGAGAGAGAAAGATGAAGAGAAATGAAGAGAAGTTGTGGTTATTTATAGGGTTTTTGAAGGACGTGAAGAGGATCCAACTTGTTTGACTATGATCAATTATTTGTATTTAATTATAATTCTACAAAATATCTGATATTTCATTTGCGCTTATCTACATAATTCAAAATCTGACTTTGTTTCTGTAAATTAAGAAAACATTGGATCTGTCAATTTGTCAATGCTGTTACTATCACCGCCATCATCAGTTCATGACCTCATTGCACATTTTATTCAGATTCTCTTTGGCTGATCGTAGCCAATTTACTTCAGAGCTTCTACCTTTAGAATCTCACCAATAGAAAATTGTGTAATAATTCGCCTTTATGGATAGGTTATGCGTAATCTAGGAGGAAATTATAGTCCTAGAAAATTATATATCGAATTATATTTGAATGTCCATCGGACCAACCTAACGTAGCCTCTTATGGTCCAAACAAATTTCTATGTATTACGATTTGATCCGATTTTTTCTTGCCTTGCGGAGTCGTCTAAAACTATTCAGCGCTAGCTGGTAAAACGTACTTGAAATTAAAATAATGAAAAACAGTAATTCTAAATAAATAATACAAACTAGATGATTTACCCGCACTATGTGCGGGAAGAAATAGTTATATGAAATATATAAACAATTTTTTGGAAACCGATTATATATTATCACTTGATATACAAGTGTGAATATTTGAATATGATTTAGTAACTCATATATTTTGGAGATTTTATTAGTTAGGAATTAGGATATTCCATATTTGGAATAAGATTTTAAATTAAAATATTGACCAAAGTTTATTTTTGAAATATCATTCCTATAATTCTGAAATATATTCGAATATTTTTTGTATTTTAATTAAGATTTTATTTTGGAAACAATTCAATATAAAAACTGAAAAGAGTATGAATAATTATTTTTTAAACGTAATAAAATTTTATTATCCTTTATTATTCTTGATAATTCTATGTAGTTAGGATTGATTTATTGCATATCCCTCATTTTATGAATCAATTTATATTGTTACGATAATGTATTGGGTTGTAAATAAATTGTAACTAAAATGAGTAAATGACTAATTAAATTGAATAAACCGTGTAAAAGTTTTAATAAATTGATAAGGTAAAAATTTGAAAAGAAATAATATTGAAAATAATGAGTAAGCGGATACATTTTTAACATAGATTAATATTGAAATATTGTTCATAGTGAATGTGTAATAAATGAAATGTTACTAACTAATTTATGTAAAACTATGTTCCAAATATATTTAAGAAACATATGGGCTCACATATATATTTAGATGTTTTGTAATTTATAACAAAAAATAAAATGTCATATATGTTAAAATTCTAAATGTTTTTTATAAAACATATAAGAAAATATAAGTACAAAACATATAATAAACATTTATATTATATATTGTTCATCATGATTTATGCTATATACTTTTTACTTGTTTCGTCAATATATATAGTTTTTATTAATTAATTTCTTTTATTAATTGCTAATCTCTTAAATATAGAGGAAAAATATGCATAAGTACCACTGTACCACTAATGGCATTATATGTAATTAGTCTAGTAAATATTGAACAATTATTAAGTTTGTTCAGAGTTTCTCTGGTTGCGACATGTCAGAATGGCAGTCTTGTAAATCACACGTGAATGTAAGGTTTTTTATTTAAAATGCTTCTCAATTAATATATAGGGGATTTGATTTCTTAATAGTTATTTTCAAGAAGATAATATAAGATAAAAATAAACCAATCACAAAGCAAAATAAACTTTTTAAGCTACATTCAAGACAAATATGAAATATGTATGACTTATTGAAAAAGTTCTAACACATGCATATATCTGAAACATGAATCAAAGTATAACCCAAAAAAGATTAACTTTCTTAATCATAGTTGTCTTCCCAAATGTGAAAGTTTTGTTCGCTGATCTTTAAAGCAACATCTACAACACTAGATTTACACACCATGTAAATATATATACTGTTTTCCGGCCGATTCTCTTTTTAAAATAAAAACTCCAGAATTAACTACACATTTTTTTTTTTTTTTATAACTTAGATGATCTTAAAGGTTTCCTAGGCCCAAAGACTAATCATGGGATCCGGGGAAACCATGTTAAAATTCAAACTCCGGTGGACAATGCTACTCGAACCCAGATGGCGGAGACTTTTCTCTCCTTTACCACTGGACCAAGGCGATTTGGTTAACTACACATTAACTACACATTAACTACACATTTCTTTTAAAAAATAAAAGAATATTTAATATTTTATTCTTCTTTTTCAATATATGAGCAAATAACTACGTACAAAATCCAATAAAATACAATACTTTCTTTTTCGGTAGAAATACATCTATATATAATCTCGAAATGATATGGAAAATTAGTTGAATAAAATAAAGAAAATTGTTTATATTGATATATTTGGATTTCTTATTTGGATATAAAGTTATATAAAATTTCATAAGCACATAAAAATTCATATACAAAATTTCTAAGCAAAAAAAGAATTTTGGTATGAGTCAGATAGGACTGCCGTAAGAAATATGCACAACTTCCTCGAACATGGCCGAAAAGAATGATTATTTTAGCAATGTGTGTTTTTCTTTGATAATATCATTTTGCAGACACTTGAACCAGATTTCTGCATAAATTTTAAAAACTTTTGTCTAAAACTACGGATTGTGCAGAAAACATTCTTAATGTGATAATTTAATCCAGCAAGGAATTTGGTGAGACTCGTCTGCCCTTTTGTTATAATTCTATGGATACGTAATTTTTTAATCATCTGGTCTGAGATGCGACAAGAGGAGAAAATTAGGTTATCCCGTGAACCCAAGACCCACTCTATGGACCATATAAATAAGTTAAATTAGTTTATAATATTTTATATTTTTAAATGCAAATAGATAGATGGAAATCAAATCAATAAGTTTAAAATATTTTTTAGCGTTGTCTCAACTTAATTTTTCAAATTCGTTGGGTGACTTAGCAAGCATAGAACATACTCGAACTCGACTGATCAGATTGATATGTAGGTTTAAAAAAGAGTGGTAAATAGTTCTGCCCATGGAGGATATGAAGCATGTCAAAGGAAATTAAATAAGAAAATTCATCAATTATAGTATTTTAGGCTTTGAACACAAAACAAATATGTATATATAGTATTAGGAATATGCACATGTTCGATTGTTTGTTCTCATTATTTGACTTTTTTTGGTCCTTTCTCATTGTAATAGCACGAGCGAGTGAAAAACCGAAGGAAAATTTGTAGCACTCAAATTTTGATCATAGATAAAACCTGCATCGCTTTGTCCAAAAAAAAAAAAAAAAAAAAAAAAAAAAAGATAAAACCTGCATCGATAAATGGACATATCTTTCAAACTGAAGAAGAATTAAATTGTGCATCATTTTATTTCTTGCTTTTTTTTTCGGGTCGATTTAGAGAGTTCTTCTTTGGTTTGACAAAATTTTAGTTTCTGATTTATAAATTCATCTTGAAATCCAATCTAGGTCAAAATTATTAATGTAAGATTTTTGACAAAAAAAAAGATGGCATACTATTATGAAAAATAATATATATATATATATATATATATATATATATATATATATATATATTTATACACATTCACGCGTATAAGTAACATGAGTGTGATTTTTTAGAATAAAGCGGAAACAAGAAGCTGATTATTACTTTAAAAATCTGAATGAGGAAATTGATTTAAAATGGATACAGTACCAGGAGTACAAGAAACACTTATTCGATAAACAACAGAAAATAGATTAAAAGAATATTAAAAAAAGATAAACATCAAAAGATCGATTAACCATTATAACCAATCGAAGGGTGGGTAGATAGATCAAGCACATACGAATTTAGAAGGAACCTTCCTGCCACAAACATTGAGAAGAAGGCTGAGAGAGACAGGAACATTAAGCTTAGTGCCTAAAACATTTGCCTTTAGGGCGGTGCAGAGACAAGCCGCAGCCTCAAGATCAACCAGACCCTTGAGGAGGGAGCAACAAGGCTTGACTGGTGGTGTGCCCAACTGGATTTTGAGAAGATCCTTGAGGACATTGGCGCAAACGCCAAGCTTGAGAGTGTCTCTTGGGCAGCTTCCGGTGGACTGGGGCTTAGGCTTGGGTTTAGGGGTTGGACTGCAGCCACCGCCACATGCGGTGGTCAAGGTGAAGAAGAGGATGCTGAATGTGAGGAAAATGACAAGGGATGCTGAGGTTTTCGAAGCCATCTCTCGAAATATGTATATTTCTATTTTAAGTAAGAAGTTTGAAGATAAGAGTGTTCCTAAAAGAGAGTGGTGAAGATAAATGAAGAGAAGGTGTATGTATATATATTAGGGTTTTAAGGGGTTGTACAGTTAATTAAAGCTGTCATTGCTAAATGATTTTGAGGAATTATTAGACGAATATATATTTTAGTAACAATAGTCAGTGGATCTTTGTATTATTAAGTGGTTAATATATATTTCATTTTTTTATTACATTGTGAAACAAATGTTAAATCATGGATAGAAGCAATTTACTAAATTAATTAGGACCCTATTGTGCTGTCATAATTTTTTTTATTTTTCAAAAGTTTATTAGTTGAGTAGTTATAAATGTTTTCGTTTTTCATCTATACAGAATACAGTTTCAAAAGATACAAATATATATATATATATATATATATATATATATATATATATATATATATATATATATAATAGTAAGATTCTAAAACAGTCGAAATACTTTTCCTTTGTTGAATTGTAAAACAATCGATTTTTTTTAGAATCTTAGCTTAAATTCATATTTGTCGGCTGTATATTATTTTTCTCAGTTTATATATTTTGTGATTTTGATTTATCTACCCTAATTAGTATTTTTCCGTAACTTACTTGTGGAGTACATTTTATAGACTATCGACTCATATTTTATGTTAGTCGAAGTAATACACTTTATTTTGGTCGACTTGATTACCATTTATTTTGGGCTATTGATTGAATTCAGGTAAATCGAAAACATAAACACGAATTGCTCGTTAGAAGTGTTCATTAATTAAAAATTAGTTTCGACTATGAAAAATATATATACCTTTTTATATCCGAAACTTTCAGATTATAAGAAAATCAGACTATAATCGATGCACATGTGATCAATAATTACTCATATTTCCCATGTGTAGCCCCGAATGTGATTTACAGGCTTTAGCTGGCGATTGTGTTTGGAGGTTAATTAGTAATTTGGAAGTGTATGACTACTGACTTTCAAATTTCAGTTATTGGCTTTACCCTTCACATTTTATTTTTGGGAAATTAGCAACTATAGCAAGAAAAACAACAACTATAATTCATCAAATAACAACAATAGAATTCTTATGACAAATAGCTTTGGGTACTTTGACACTAACGTCAGGTTTAACTCAACGTGGAATAAACCATTAATCATTATTCTAATTTAGTGTTCGCATCTTATTAACCCTTGGTAATTTTCTCGACGAGCTAATTAACAAAATAGGGATTTCTTCTTTAGGCGAATTCTGTCTCAGCTAAGAAAGAATGAGGGATATTACAGTTTTCCATGAATTATCTAGTTTCTATGGAAAAGTAAAAATAAACTACGAAAATATACCAAAAAACTATACTAGAGCCCTCAAGTTTTTTGAATCATATTATTAGTGATCACAGTTTGGATGGCAGCTCAAATTAGCCCAACTAAGGATATCAAGAACAGATTTAATCTGGATATGAATTATCGTTCTTAAGATGTCAAGGTCATGATTCGTCGAAACTATAACGCCTCCACCGTCATTGTATGTCGTCCCATGCTTTCTTTCGACCCGTAGATTCTACCCCCATCCGACGGTTAGTGCATTATTCGATGAAATTTAATTTTTTTACTCTCCATACATATGACTACTAAATATTTGTCGTGTTTCGTCCTTACTCACACGGTACCCAAAATTACTTTCTGGTAGGTCAACAATCTTGAAATCGATGTATCTCAAACACGTTTAACTGAAAATCGGTAAACATGATTAGCGAAAAAGATAAATGCACTAAGTAGGTAGCCAAATCAAATTTAAATTTTCGTATATATGCACCAGCATATCTTCAAAAATAGGGGTGTTACAACCACCTTGCTACCATATCGCAATGTCATTAACTCATTATCATGTACCAAGACTGTTACTCCAAGTCCAACGGTGTCAATGTGCATGTCTTCACACTCGTCCGGGTTTGGCTCTAATACCATTTATTATGTTTCGGCTACCATCTTATGTGCTTCTCTATGCCCTCTCTGGGGCCGTGGACCAATCTTTGTCCAACGAGAGGCCTTAAAATACATGTTTGATGTTCCTCCTCACTAAGATGGTATTTGAAATCATTTTTCCTCGGGTCACATATCCTAAAAATCGGTACAGTTTAAGCATGCTTAAGTCTAGAATTATGTCAGAATGATTGACAAAAAAAATACGTATATTTTGGTGACATAGATAGTCTATCAATTTTTTTAAGTTTCTTCGCATGTACTACCATATTTTCATAAATCTCTAAAATATATAATATAATAAAACAGACGGAGTAGTATAAAGCTTTGAAAAGTTAGCAGAAATCATAGTTTGCATTTCAAAATCAATATCAATAACTTAATTTAATTATTGCCAATTGATTCTGAATTGAAAATTCTTTCATCCTCATACGGTATTAAAATCTTAACAAGCCAAATGGATAAAAACTGATCCGAACAGATGATTAAGTTCGGTATTAGATGAATGAGCCAAAGAGCCATTTTCTCGAAATGATAACATATCCCACATTAGAAATGAGTATTGACCACTAGTAGATAAAGAATATTAGTTAATCAATTACTACCAACTAGTTTTGCAATTATTTTTAATTTGGATCTTCAGATATTTCATATTGTCTTTTATTTTATTTATTAAATAGAATTCTTGTATTTTTTAACAAACATTTAAGTATTGTTAATCTTTATAAAAATAATTCCAGGGTTAAACTTTTCTAGTATGTATGTATATTTCAATGGATAGATTAGGTAGACAGAGATTCGTGCTCTTGTGATCGTTAGAATAAAATAAATTAATGTAATACTTTCTGAGGAGATGCCGAAACAAGAAGCTGATTATGATAATACTTTAAGAATCTTATTTTTGAGCTAATTAATTTAAAATGTAAACAGTACAAGAAGTAGAGGCAGCACTTATTCGATGAACAACTGAAAAAAAAAGAGAATTCAAAGAATCTTAATCAAAGATAAAACATCAAAAGATAAGTTAAAAAATATGACCAAGGTGGATAGATAAATCAAGCACATACGAATCCAGAAGGAACCTTCCTGCCACAAACATTGAGAAGAAGGCTGAGAGAGACTGGAACATTAAGCTTATTGCCTAAGACATTAGCCTTTAGGGCGGTGCAGAGACAAGCCGCAGCCTCAAGATCAACCAGACCCTTAAGGAGGGAGCAGCAAGGCTTGACTGGTGGTGTGCCCAACTGGATTTTGAGAAGATCCTTGAGGACATTGGCGCAAACGCCAAGCTTGAGAGTGTCTCTTGGGCAGCTTCCGGTGGACTTGGGCTTAGGCTTGGGTTTAGGGGTTGGACTGCAGCCACCGCCACATGCGGTGGTCAAGGTGAAGAAGAGGATGTTGAATGTGAGGAAAATGACAAGGGATGCTGAGGTTTTCGAAGCCATCTTTCGATATATATATTTCTATTTTAGGTAAGAAGTTTTATGATAGAAGTATTGCTAAAAGAGAGTGGTGAAGATAAATGAAGAGAGGGTGTATGTATATATAGGGTTTTGCAAGGGGTTGTATCGGACAGTTAATTAAAGCTGTCATTACTATATGGTTTTTAAGGAATTATTAGACGAATTTATATATTAAGTAGGGCTTTGTATCTTTGTATTATTAGGTGGTTAAGATATTTTTCATTTTTATTACATTGTGAAACAAATGTTCAATCATGGAGTTATAATAAACACCATATTTCTGTCATATTTTTTCTTTTTCAAAAGTTTATTAGTCGAGTAGTTAAAACTTTTTTCGTTTTATGTTCCAATACAGAATACTTTCAAAAGATAGCGAAAGATGCTTGCATGTTTCTTTAATTACGTTAAACTAGTAATTAGAATCGATGCACATGTGTTCAATAATTACTCATAATCCCCATGTGTATCCCCGTAAGTGATTTAGGCTTTTTACCTGGCGATTGTGTTTGAAGATTAGTAATTTGGAAATTTGTGACCACAAAGTATGGCTATCACAATTTTATTGGCTTTATCCTTCACGTTTTATCATTTTAAAACCCATAATTTCCCACATTTACATTACTGATCCCGATTTAAGAATCTAAATTATGGAGTTACAAATCGTTGTTGTAATGACCGATCTACGATCAGTATCAAGAATCTACAATACGAGTTACACTCGAAAATAAAACTACTCTCAGTCTCGTACCCTTTTCTTACTTTTGGATAAACAATGGTAGAGATTATAAGAATAAACCAACACGTCTCTATTCGCATTTCATACAAGGTTGATGAGACAAGTAGTACATCGTCTTGTTCCACCTTGCATATTTAATCAATTGCAATGGTTCATTTTTTTATTATTATTATTAGGTTATGAACCCCCGCGATATCGCGGGGGAACTCATTTTGAACAAATATATTTGATTGTGTTTATGTATTAAATTATTATGATAATATAATCAAAAATTTGAATTATTACATAAAATTAACTATGTTTTAACGTAAATATTTTCCAAAGATGTTAAACAAATTTATGAATAAAAATGAAAAAACATAATTATGATTAAAAATACTTTTGAAACAATTTTTGTGAATGTAAAATTATTTATAAGTGATAAAATATATCTCACTTTCGACGAAAAAAAAAAGGTGACAAAATATATAACAAAGAGTTATAATATAGATATGAAAAATTCTAGCCGGTCAAAACCCAAAAATTCAGATGTAGTCTGTACTCAGCATGACTTGTAGGTGACTAAGAACTTTGCTCTAGAATTGGTGTTTTTTGTTTGTCCATTTTTCTTTTAAATATAAAATTAATATTTATTTTATTATATATATTCGAAAGTATATAAAATTTGGTGATTTAAATTACATTTATAACAAACAAATAAACATTTACAAGATCTCATTTATTTATATTTAAATTAACGAGTAATAAAACTTCTCTCTTGAATATTCATGTGACGAATTAGAACCATTGTTTTTTTCCTAATAATGGAGATGATTTCTGGATTACTATACTATTTGAAACGGTTTATATAATGATTACCACATTCAAAGCGCCCAATCACAAGCGTCACATGAGGATGTCTTCTCATATTCCGACTTTGTAATAGTACTAACTCAATATCAATATTTCGTTGTATACAACTCATATATATTGCTTTAAAATAGAAAGTATCATTGTTACTATATAAAATAGTTAAAAAAAAAAAAAAAGTTACTGTATACTCCGTCAAATTCTAAGAAAAAAAATTGTTGGTATTTTCATTAGAATTTTATATTTAAAGTTGATTAAAACTTCCCCATTTTTATAATCACTCCAAAAAACTTTAGTTAAATGAGAAGAACTTTTTTTAATATTAAGATTATGTATGTTTAGAAATAGTTTAGAGAATAAATAAGTTGGAGGCATTTTACAGATTTTTTTTTAGATTTATCATGAAACAAATAATCTATATTAAAGAACAAAAGTTTGGGAACTACTTAGGAAGAAGGACAAATACATAGAGTTCAAATGTCACAAATATTTAAATAGACAATTATTCATACAAAAAGTTGTGACGAAAAAATACAATGAAATATAGTGAAGAGACATAACTTTAAATGAATAGATGCAACTATAAAGATACAATTGTAAACTAAAAAAAATATGACTATAATTTAACAAATAGAACTGTCCCAAAAATATTTCCGTCAATATTTAACAAAAATATGCGATAAAAAGACACAACTTAGAAAAAATAACCGTCAATATTTTACCGGAAAGTTGCGATAAAAAGACACAAACGAAAAAAGTTACCGTCAATATTTTAACGGAAAGTTTCGATAAAATGACACAACCAAAAAATAGCCGTCAACGAAAAAAAGTAACTGTCAATAATTTAAAGAAGTGTTGCGATAAAAAGATACAACTAAGAAAAATAACCGTCAATATTTTTAACGGAAAGTTGCAATAAAAAGATACAACAGAGAAAAAATAATCGTCAATATTTTAACCAAAAGTTGCGATAAAAAGATACAACCGAAAAAATTAACTGGTCAATATTTTAAAGGAAAATTAAGATAAAAACACAACAGAAAAAATAACTATCAACGAAAAAATAACCCTAATTATTTTAACGAACAGTTGCGATCAAAAAGAGACACCCGCAAAAAATAACCGTCAATATTTTAACGAAAAGTTGCGATAAAGATACACAAACGTAAAAAGTAACTGTCAATATTTTGACGAAAATTTACGGTAGAAAGACACAAAAAAAATAACCGTCAATATATTAATAAAAAGTTACGATAAAAAGACACAACAAAAAAATAACCGTCAACGGAAAGAGTAACCGTAATTATTTTAACAAAGAGTTGCGTTCAAGAAGACACAACCGAAAAAAATAACCGTCGATATTTTAACGAAAAATTACGATAAATAGACACAACAAAAAAATAACCGTCAACAGAAAAAATAACCGTAATTATTTTAACAAAGACTTGCGATCAAGAAGACACAAATGAGAAAAATAACCATCAATATTTTAACGAAAAGTTGCAATAAAAAGACAAAAACGTAATAACTAACCGTCAATATTTTAACGAAAAGTTATGATAAAAAAACACACAACCGAAAAAATAACCGCCAACGAAAAAAGTAAACGTCAATATTTTAGCGAAGAATTGCGATAAAAAAACACAACCAAGCAAAATAATCTTTAATATTTTAACTGAAAATTGCGATAAAAAGACACAACTGAGAAAAATAATCGTCAATATTTTAACGGAAAATTGTGATAAAAAAGTCAAACGAAAAAAAGTAACCGTCAATATTTTAAAGAAAAATTGCAATAACATAACCAAAAATAACCGTTAACAAAAAAAATAACCATTAATATTTTAACGAAGAGCTGCGAGAAAATCACAACCGAAAAAGTAACCATCAATATTTTAACGGAAAGTTGTGATAAAAAAACACAACCGTTTAGAAGTGTAAAAAACAGCATAAATATTTAAACGAAATGTTGCAATAAAAAAACGCAACCGTTCAGATGTGCAAATGGTATTTATTGGAAACGACATAACCGTAAAAAATAACCGATTAAAACGAAAATTGCGATAAAAATACGCAACCAAAACAACCGTAAAAAAAATAATCGATTTATACGAAAAGTTGCGATAAAAAGATGCAACCGTTCAGATGTGCAAATGATATTTATTAGATTGATATTATATATAGATTGTTTTTTTTTTTGAACAAACTGCAATAGTCCGTTTCTGATCCAAATATCCTCGTGTAATTTTGTTGAATTGTGGAGTCTAATTTTAATAATGTTGTCAAGTAGATTGACGCTCATGATCGATTTAGGGGACTAGGTTGTCATGGGTTGGAACTTGGAAGTATCTAATGGTATGCAAGGGAACATTGATCTCTTTTCTTATTTTTATTTTATTTTATTGCCACTTTGGTTTGATGTAGATTAAAAAGAGAGAGAAAAAAAGGGGGTTATTAGCAACGATATTTTCGTTCTTAGTTAAATGACCAAAATCCATTGTTAAAGTTATAAGTTGACACAAGTACGTATGAATTCTTCTTACCAAAAAAAAAAGTACGTATGAATTCTTCTCAACCAAGAAAAATAAAAATAAAAAAAAAGACATTAAGAGTGGAAAGAAAAAAACAATAATAGTAAAAACTAAAAATTGTTTGAACAGTAGATTATTTTGTTCGCTAATCATTCGTTAATTTGCGATCGGTTGGAATACCATATATTTTAAATTACTAGTTCTTTTCCAACTTTATAAATTTTGTAATTTTATAAACTGAGGTTAATTTTAAATTATAAGTTTTTTTTTGTTCGCAAACAATTAAGCTATAAATATCGTATATAGTTTTGAATTTTTCCCTTAACAATATATGTATCACATCATCATAAAAGTCTTAATCTTATTCATTAATTGCTTAGACATGAATTTAATTTTGATGCCAGACAAAACCAATACAAGAACATACATAGAAAATATGAATATATATATTGTAGCTATGTTGGGCAACGGAATCCATCGGGAAGGGTACCTCCACAGGCGTTAAGGGCTAAGTTAAGATGAATAGGAGTGTCGATGGTGATGCCAAGAAGGCTGAGCTTCAGCGCGGTGCAAAGGCAAACCACAACATCGAGATCAATTAGACCAAAGAGAATAGAGCAACAAGGTCTCATAGCTCGTGCACCGAGATTCAAGTTGATGAGGTTGAGAACATTCGCGCATGTGGAAAGTTTGAGAGCGTCTCTCGGGCAAGTATTTTCTGCGAAAACCGGGATAATGAGGTTGAGGAAGAGAATATTGATCACAAGGAATAAAGCAAGTGTAGCTGAGGTCTTTGGAGCCATAATCATCCCGATCTTGTGTTTCGATCTTTCTATATGTTATAAGGGTATGTTTGTTACTTTGAGCTATGTAGCATATATAAATATGACGGGAGATTTATGGTATTTATAGGGAAAATCACAATTTTAACTCTCAAAATGTTACTGGGTAGCATTTTAAACCTCGAAAGAATTCCACTAACACTAAAAACCACCAAAATAATTTTACTAACACTTTAAACCTTCAAACTAGTTTTCATGTTTACACCGCCATAAAATATGATGGAACAATTAATTTATGTTGGTTTAATATAAATTATTTAATTTAATTTTAATTTTAATTAATTTATTATTTATTATGATTTTTCGATTATTAAGAAACGTAAAAAAAATAGATTCCTCTGATACGGAGAATGCTTCGTTTTCAGACAAAATTTTGACATTCTTTAGTTTTTATTATTCTATTCAAGTTTCTTTTGTATCTCATATTCTACATTATTTGGTTTATATTATTATACTATAAATTTCTCTTGTGCTTAAATATAACGTTTCAGAGGTTGAATTTAAAATTTTCATAGTCGAACGGTGAGTAAACAAAAAAGGTGAAGTTTTTTTAGATATTTTATTAATTGTAATATATAATTAAAGTAATTTTAAATTAAATTAAATTGAATAAATGTATACTAAACAAATAGAAATTAAATTTTTTATCATTTTTATAGTGGGATAAACTGAAAAGCTAGTTTGGATGTTTAAAGTGTTAGTAAAATTATCTTGGTGGTTTATAGTGCTAGTGAAATTCTTTCGATGTTTAAAGTGTTATCCAGTAATAATTTCAGGGTTAAAAATGTGTTTTTATTCGTATTTATAGTGTTTGAAATGTTCGTTTGTTTATTTATTAATAAAGTGATTTAGAGATTTGCTTATCTAATGACTAACTAGGGTAAATTAATTGATTGTTGCGGAAGGTTTAGTACTCTTAGGGTAATGAATTTAGGTGTTTTTTTGGATAAAGTACGTAAAGTTAATATTAAAATTAGAATTATATATGATGGTCCCTAATCTAGATATAATAAAGTAGTGCCTATATAGTCAATCTTATTAGAAATATATCATGTATGTACATATAATATTGTTCGGTCGTAAATTCCCTAGAATGCAGAGACATGTGAAAAATTAAATCGAGTTAGGTTTTCTTGTTCAGTTGGAGACAAGTGTCCACTTGAAAATAACAATGTTTGTTTTCTTTGTTTTATAGACCTACTAATACTATCAACAAATGAGATAGTAGCTATAGTTATACCTTTAAAATTAAACGCCTAACTATTAAGGATAATAATAATAAGTGGAAGAATTTTTTTTCTAGCAGTTGTTTTAGGAAAATATATATAAAATTTTAGGTGAGGTATGAGGTTCAAATTAGTTCATATATCGTCGTTGACCTTTGGCATTCTCTTACGTTAATAATAGTTGTGGACGTTTTATTGGTTTAGAGCCACAAGCTCACAAATGCACACTTTTTGGTTAGATTCGGGTTACAAGGTCCGGTAAGAGCCTTTTGGTTCGGTGCTAATTAATCATTTAAAAAAGTCAAGACAAAGAGTGGTTTGATGTTTTATCAACTGAAATATGAAGAAGAGTGATGAAAAATGAAAATCCAAGAAAATACCAAATTGGTTCGCTAAACATACTTACAACTAGAAGCCGTTTTCAACCACATAATGCAAACAAACACAATTTTCAACTAGCAAACAATGTTTGTTTTCTCTTGTCGGATTAATGGGTCTATCTCGAATTAATCATCTCAGTCACAGTAACTAAACACGATTTTGGGGTTTAAAACGAATTTGTTCCTAATTATAATATTTTGATGATTTAAAGAATTTGTGTTGTAAATTGAAGAACACGTTAGTTTGCATTGAGTTGACCTGAGCATTCGGTCGGATTTGCTTTTTCGGGTTTTGGGTAGGGAGGTTTAAGACCGTTTAGGAACTGAAACTTTTTTGGTTCAGTATGATTGGGGTATTGTCGGGTTTGGGCTGATTCTTCAAATTTAGGTGAAACCCGACTTAGAACCGGAACATATTTTGGTTCAGTTTTTGAACTCGAATTACGAGATAAATCCATTTTACTCTTTTTTTTTTTAATTATACGAAAATATTTCAATGCCACGTGAAATTTATTTTTCCTCGCCATAAATATTTGTCCTTGCTTTCCGATCTTCTGAACTAAAGAGAAAATTTGAATATAAACTAAGATATATAGGGCTCATACCATGTGGATGTATTGTTTTGGCTTTTACGGATATTCGCTCGGATTTTGGATTTTTTTGAACATCCGTTCGGGTTTTGGGTCCAACCTGAACTGAACAGAAAACTTAAACAAATTTATTTAGGATTTGTTCGGATAATATTAGCTATATGAAACAAAACAAAACATCCTTTTCAGGCAGTGCCGGCTCAAATAGGTAGGCGAACGGTGCGACTGTCAGGGATCCAATTCCGTGCTCCAATAATTAAGGGACCCATTTTAATTTTTTTTTATAAAAGTATTAAAATTTTAAATTACAACATAAAAATAAAATTTAGAAGGCCCCATAAATTTTTTTATTATTGCTTTTAGTTTTAATAATTAACTTTTTAATAAAAATATCATACAATTTTTTTATATAACACAAAGAACACAAAAAAAATTCTAAGGGCCTAAAATTTTTTTTGCCCTAGGGCCTATAATACTGTTGAGCCGGCACTGTTTTCAGGTCGAGGTTTTCACGTTCGGTTTATATGCCCATGCCTAGTGATGATGCAAAAAACGTGGGGAATAATTTGGGTCCAATTGTTGGGGTAGTGTAGCAAAGTCACCCTATTATTTTAGTTTATTTTATCTACAATGATTTCAATCTTAAATCTTCAAAATTTCACTATTCTATTTCCACTCATTTCTATTGTCTTCTAACATAGTCACAAGCCACCATATAGTAAAAAAAATATTGAACAGTAAAATTGGCAAAATTACAAACGAAAAAGTTTATTCTTTACTTTTCATATAGTGAGTGCTTTGATCATAAATTTAACTCCTGATTTTCCTCATTGCCACTCACTTCCTCTAACATTTCCATGAACTCTTTCTGCTTATTTCCTCTCATCGTTGTTGTTGTCATCGAACTAAACCGACTATCATGAATTGATGCTTCTTCAAATCTTGTCCATAGCTCTTTCTTCAGAGTATTCTCACCTGCTTTCGTCATTATGCTCTCTGGTTCTTTAAATAATGGAGTACTCTCAACCACCATTGACATGCTTCCGTCTAAGAAACACACAAAAGAAAGTTAAAAGATCATTGATATGGAGTATTCATAAGACTCAATGAAATGACCGAAACATCAACTTTTTTATACCTGTAGTGTGTTTTGCTTTAATGTTTGGCAAATCAAATGAGGATACCATTCTGGATCCACCAGTTTCATCAATCGGTTTCTTCTCATTCAAAGGCTCCATTAAAACACATGTTTTAGGAGGAGAAAACCACCAAACTGGCGAGGATTCAAGATCCGTTTTTCGTGTAATTGGAGCATGTTGCATTCCCAAGAGCTCAGGATACTTCGAGCAGAGGTTGTCTGTTGTTTCAATACCAGAGGATCCAGAGCTCTGTGAACCATTAGAAGTGCTAGCTCCCAGTTCAGAGCAGGTAGACTTACAAGCCCCATGCTTTACCAGTTGAGAAGTTTCAGGAACCGGTTTAAACATTGTACACGATTTCGGAAGAGACATCTTCAAGCAAGGTGTCATTAGAAGCTCAGACTGAATTTTTCTCCTGAGAACTGGTGAAGAACATGGCTCATACTCTACCAATTTTTCAGAGAAATCAATGGCATGGCCTAAAGAGTTACCAAGTCCTGCAGTTTTCATCAACTCACCTCCTAAAACATCATCACTTGTTTCTTTAGAAGCTTCAAGCGATTTATTTGCAGTATCGTCTGGGAAAATCCTTTTAGCTGTCAGCTTAGACGCATTCTGATGTTTAAGGAATTCAGATTTTCCTAAGGGTAGTGGTGTCAAAAGAAAGAGTTGTCTACCCTTGTCTGCGTTATGATCACCACGCCAATGCACGAGAGGAGAAGGAGAGACTAAGGGCTCAAATTGAGTAGGCTCAGGACTCTCAACATCAAACAAATCTTCTTCTTCGTTTGTCCTCATCAAAGACTGTCCTTCCTTATCCTCCGGAAGCAACTGAAAATCAGACATCGCTTCTTCCAATCGAGGAAACCATGGCTGCATATATTAAAACATGTTAAAATCCTAAAGCAAAATGGTCAAACAGTAGAAGGAAACAAAGGAATGAAACCTTTAGTGAGGAAAGCATATCAGACAACACAGATCTGAAAGATTCAACTTCTCTTAACCCGTGTTTGGTCACGGTCTTTCGCTTTGTGGCTTCAACAACAAGCTCATCAATCTGAAATACCCAAAACATGGAAGAGTGAAACATAATTCTTTAACTAATACCTAACAAGTTAAAACACAAAAGCTCTCAGATAAACTATCTCTAGCTAAGAGTAGCAAGTACCTGGAGAAGAACAGATCTAATATCAGAATGTACAAGGAAGAGTTGATCCAGTTCACAATCACTGCCACCACCTCCATGGTCTTCTTCTATATGTTTCATTCCTCTAACAAAATCATCTCTTCTGCTTATATAAGGTTCCATTTTTCAATACGAAATGTTGGTTTCTGTGAAAATCTGGATCTGGAGAATCGTAAACAAACAAACAAAAAGCATTACTATCTAGATATCGCGCTATTCTTCAATTGAGAAACCAATTTTTCCAGATTTGCGAAGACCAGTGAGAAAGAGAGTACCAAAATCTGGTAACGATTTCGAAATTGAAATTGAAAGACGATGATAGAGATAGAAGAGAGAGGACCTGCTTAAACGAAGAATTAGGTCAAGAAGATGTTGAGATAACCGGTATGGTTTCCGGTCGACGGAGATTGTGGTCGATTTCAATTGCACCGTCGTTAGGGTTTTCTAGAAGAAGACGAAAGGCGGGATTTTGTACTTTTCGAATTTGGGATTGAAGTTTGGAGGAAGATGAGAGAGTGTGATGTACAGAGAGAAATTGCCGAAATAAAAGATTTTTAGTATAAAAAAATCATATATTAGTAAATTAGGCTGAAATTTAAAATGGGCTATAGTTGTCAATGAAGCCCAATAATATGGATGTTACAGATATCCAGCTTTTTTAGGGTATCCGGATCCGGATCCGGCCGGATTTACCTTTTCATTATCCGGATCCGTTATACCCAGATATCCGGATACGCTCCACCCAGATATCCTGTTTTTCGGAGCAGATCCCGGATCGAATCCCGAATCCCGGATAATTAGTCTCAGCGCTAGTTGTAAGCTTAGGGGGATATTGAATAATAAATTTAGAGTCATTTTAGTTTTATCCGGTTTTGAGATGATTTTGGTGAATTATGAAATTTGTTACTCCTTCTGTTTCACAAAGAGTGTCATTTTAGAGTTTTGCACACAGATTAAGAAAACATTAAATTTTTTATTTTTTCTAAACAAAAACATCATTAACTATATACCTAAACATAATCTGCCCAATAGTAAAACAATCTGCAGAATACTAATAGTCATAAAACATAAAAAATCATTAAATTTTACATTGAAAACCTAAAACGACACTCTTTGTGAAACAAAAATAAAACCTTAAAACGACACTCTTTATGAAACGGATGGAGTATTAAATTTTCTTAAATCTCACCTAAAACCATAAGATTGGTATCTTTGTATTTTTAATTAGAAAATTCTTTGAAATCTCATGTAAAGTCACTCAAATGACTTCAAATCAACTACTTTAAATATTTTCAATAACAGTATATTTGATTACATGTGTATTTTAAAATCATTAATCTAATAACACTTGATTTTAGAAAACTTTTTAAAATTTTGAATAACATATGAATTTTTATTTTAATAGAAATCACTCCAAATCCTTTATTCCAATACACCCCCATTATATTGTTCAATTCATGCTCACGGTAAAAGCTGCTTTTTTTTAATTAACTAAGAGTTGAAGAGAGTCTGACTCTGAATTCATGTATTTACTACAGTATACTTTTTACCACAATTAAAATTTACATTATTTTACTTTTTAGCTTTTACCACAATTGTAAGGGATAACAAATCATACTCTTATGTATATTGAACACTAGAAAATATCAGTTTTCAAAATTTTAGAAAAGAAAGAAAATTTAAGTTGTGGATATCTTTCTTCATACAAATACATTTACCACTCAGTTTTAAAATACAATTTATTGTATAGATATTTTTCTTAATATTATTGGATGTAAAATATTTTAAATGATAAATGAAACATATTTATTATGAATTATATCTTTTATTATATTGCTATTTTTCCCATCATTTCTTAATGTATCCATATACGGAATGGTTTGCTAAGTCCAACCATCTATACTAGTATAATCGCAGCACTTTTTGTGACGGGTGGGTAAAAAAGCTTTCGGGTATATCGGATATCCGACCCATTTTAAAAATTCCTTCATAAAAAATTTGTTGGGTCGGGTTATATTTAACCCAACTCATACACCGGATATTCCATATTTAATAATTTAGATTTTTAGAAGATTTGATTAAGATTTATAATTATGATTCTCCTATCATCTTTGTTTGATTTTTTTTAACTGTTTTGAATCATCATATAATACATAAAGTAAAAAAAAAATCAATTTTTTTCTGCATATACTGTGATTCGAAATTTTAAAAACGGACATATATTATCCAATTGACGAAAATGTGTGTTCAACGTTCTACATCGATTAAAATATTTAGACAATGATTCAGAATCATATCATAAATAAGAACATTAATAAAATAAATGAGTTTTTTGGCGGGATGGGTTTGGCGGGACGGGTTTTTGAATCAACAATAATAAAAAGATTAAAATATCATTAATCCGCCGCTTCAATACGGATTTAATCCTTATTTTTTTTAATACAAATCACAGGACGGGTTAAGAAACTACGGAACGGGTTATATTTCGGAAATGATTTATATGGCGGACGAATTTGAATCAATATTTATATACCGCTTTAATACGAGTTAAATCCTCAGTTTATTAATAATTATCTCGTGGACTCGTGGTATACCATTACTTAATAACAATTGTAAACTATAATATAAATAAATATGTTATAAGAAGATACAATTTACAAAATATTTTTATACTAACTTTAAAATTAAATCATCCCGCGGTGTACCGCGGATTAAAATCTAGTTAGAGAATACAAAAATAACTACCACATGAAAATGAAGTCATAACTTTGTCTTCGTGTGGACTATGATTAAATAATGTTTTAGAAATAATGGTTATATAAGTCCGCCCCGTGACAAATGAGTTTGTTGAAGAATAAGATATGTTCACATGGACAAGCGCGAAGGAATAAAGAACCACCATTCCATTTTAGATGTTCTTAGTACCATTCCATTTTTAGATGTTCTTAGTTAAGTGTATATTGGCCACTCTAGAAATATATCAACACAAATTCATAGTTAAATTTAATTTGCCATTGTAGATTACTAACATAATAATAGGTGTATAATATCTAAGGCTTTAGCTAGTAATTTATCACATTGAAAAATAGCCAGAAAGAAACAAATAAAAATTCTAAAAGGTATATCCAGCAAGTTGATAAGTGTGGTTTTTTTTCACAATCTCTCTTTTTTTATGATACTTTTCATTATTTTAGTTTGTGAAAAAAATGTATAAAAGCGTAATTAACCAATAACACAATAATTTAAATCATTAACAATCAGAGATACTTTTGTTTTAGTTAAATAACACAAAATTTTCAATGACTTTATTAAAGTATGAATCCAATAACTCTAGATTTATGAAGTTTTAAATTAGTTTTTACAAATCCAAAACTAATAACACTTAACTTTAACAGAGTCTTAAAAAATCTTAATTGAATAATAAAAGATTCTTCATAACATTTTAAATCATTAAAAGTCCTAAACAATCATAAATCAATAACACTCCCTAAATCAAAAAAGTTTTTTTTCAACAAGTCGCTTAGTTTGGGTATCGTAGAGTACTAGAGTGTATATATGAGTATTTGGATAAATGTAATTACATAGGTCATACCCGATTTATGAGAGTTCATTTAAGGTCTGATTGATAACATAAAACTTTATAAATTTTTTAGTTGTAAGCTGGAACGGTAAATTTTTTATGAAATAGTGAAAAACTATAAAAATAAATGGTACATAAAAGCTATACAAAAAGCTGAAAGTAACGTTTTTAGTAACGCTTTAATAACATTTTTGTGATTGGTAACTATCAAAAACAATACACCTTGTACCACAATTACCAATCAAAACCATAATGTACATACGATTTTGCACAATTAATTCTTATAATTGAAATAATATATTTGATTACATTTTTAATAATTGTGAATGCCCATACATATATTGATAGGATTAGTAAATTTGGGGTTAATGTCTAACGAACTTATAGTTAATTAGTTTAGGGGATCAACTTTTACCACCAAATTGATTTTCGATATGCAATTTCTTGCTACCAACTAAGTTGTTAATTAGACCCCTATATTCTTAGAGATTGCCAGCTAATTTGAACAATGACCATTAAAGTGTTCTCAAATGATCAAATCATATCTATGAGAAATTAGTCAAGTAATCCCCTATTAAGAAAAATTAACAATGGAAACCTTCTCATTCCTCTCCTAATGAATACCCTATATATACCTACTAAATACTTACATTTCTCTCCACCAATCTCAAAGCAAGTTAAATACACTACTACTTCTTGAGCTTTTGTTAGAGCTTTTGCACTCCACAAACAAATGGCTCCAAAAACCTCTCTTGCACTCTTCCTTTCTCTCAACCTCCTCTTCTTCACTTACACCTCTGCAACATGCTCTAAGTGCATCCCCACGACAACAACCCCGACCACCCCAAGTACTAGGACATGTCCTAGAGATGCCCTAAAGCTCGTATTTGCGCCAATTTGTTCAAACTAGTGGACCTAACCAGGCCCGGCCCACCCATAAAGCAAGCAAATCATTTGTTTTAGGCCACAAAATAAAAGAAAAGTTTTAGGGCCACATTTGTAAAACACTTCCTTAGGCTGGTGGCTTTGTATTGAGTATACTAGACTCGTGTGTCCGGGTTTTAATCCCTTCTTATACAAGTTTTTTTTTTTTTTTTCGTTTATACAGACAGAATTTTTTTTTTTTATATAACTTAGTTAAAAGTATTATAACACTTTTTAGAAATCTTACACGGAGAACTCTGTCTCCGATCATTGCCGCCGTTGGGTAAAAAATTGTTGTTGCTGTTAGGTAATTCTTGTCCTTAATCCTTCTATTATTGTCATCCATTGTTTTGGATTATTATCAAATCAAAGGTTATGTTTTGAAAGTAATGATTGTAATTGGAAATTAAGGATTGCAATTTGCAATTTTCACGTGACGGTGACGTACAGTGACTTTGTCACTTGGTTTTGTACTTAAGTGTTTGGATTGAATTTGAAAACTTTGTAGTGACTATAATTATATGTTTTGTTATTTTTGTAGACGATACCTCCAGTTTGCACCAGAAAACAGGCTCATGGTCATAAAAAAAGATAAAAGAAAAAAAGAGAAGAAGAATCGGCTAATTCATACCCTCACACTTACACTATGTTCGATTCATGCCCCGACTATATGAATGTGCTAAAACATACACCCACTCTAAATATACTCAAATTACATACCCGATCTTGTAATTTTGTGCTAATTCATACCTATTTGCTAACACTGTTACTGTGCCGTCAAATCTCGATGACGTGGCCTCCACGTGGCAACGACGTTGTTTTAAAATAAAAATCAGAGTAAGAATTGGGGACAAAAAACGGCGTCGTTTCACCATTGATATCAAAAGTCGATGATTTTCTTCTTTTTTTTCTCTCGACCAAAACCCTATTTTGGAGTGATGCACCACGTTTGAGAGTCTTTGAGGGATCTTCTGTTCCTAGGGTTAAAGTAGACTAATCAATACTTATTAGCTCAATTTCTGTTGGTAAAGAGGGTTGGAAAGCGTTATCTGGATCAAGCTGGGAACAATGAGGTATTTATCATTCGGTTTTATAGTGTTTTTGATCGAAATGATTCAATTTTCTTGAGTTATATAAATAAATATTGATGTAAATCGTGTCTATTTGTATCGTATGAGAAATGTATTGAGTGTTGATCTTGTAAATTGCAGTTTGAATCAATAAGACACAAAGTAATATTCTTGAACACCAAGTGTTCGATAGAATGTCGATTTCTAAAAACCATGTTTTTTTTTGTCTTTTCAGCTCTGATGCAACTTTCCAAGTCTACCACAGTGGAAAGTTTAGTGTCTCAAGTAGCGGTGTAGTTACATATGATGGAGGGGAAATTCACAAGCTTGAAAGCCAACCGGAGTCAATGTTGGAGAACTTGGTGGATTCGTTGAAGCTGTCTTTGTCTGGGCATAGGATTTGGTTTAAACTTCCATTTGAAAGCTTGTCGGATTTGAAGATTATGTGTAATGGAACTGATGGAATAGAGAAGATGTGTGCAGCTGCAAATTACACAAAAAATGTTGATATTTTCTTGGAGAAGAACATGGAGCAAGAATGTGATATTAATGGCAATAGAGCTGCTGATGGTAAAGGTGATGAGAATAGAGCTAATGGTGAAGCTAATGACAATGGTGACAGATTTGATGCAGATGAGGAAAATGTAGGTTGTGGTGAGGAGGAAGAGGTTTACAATTCTGAGGGTACTCCTCCGCATTCAGACTGTGAGGGTGAACGGCAGTATATTAGATGCAGAAAGGGCAGTGGAGAGCTTAGAATAAGTCAGGTATTTGATAGCATTGCGGAATTCAAGGAAGCTGTGGTTGATTATGCGCTTAAAGAAGGAGTAAATGTTAAGTTCACACGGTGGGGATCTGAAAAATGTGAAGTGAAATGTTCACTTGGTGGAACTTGCATGTTCAAGATATATTGCTCCTTAGATAGAACAATTGGAAAATACCAAATTAAAACATTTCATGATGAGCATTCATGTATCCCAGATGGATATAGCAAGGTCTTGAAGGATGGGGTAATCGCCAAGTTGTTCTTGGATGATATTAGGAAAAATCCATTGATGAAGCCGAAGGAACTGCAAGAGAGAGTTGAAGAGCGTTACCACCTGACTGTTTCGAATGACCAATGCAGAAAAGCCAAAGCAAAAGCTTTGTCCATCATTCAAGATGAGCAAGATGAGGAATTTTCTAGGATAAAAGACTACCGTCTAGCTCTAAAAGAGTAAGTTCTCTGAATGTCTTTGAATTTTTCTGTTTATAGTTTCAGGGCTCCCATAGAGTAAGTTAATCTATCTTTTTTTATTTTTGTGTTTGAAGAGCAAATCCAGGATCAACTGTGGAGGTGGGAACAGTCACTACTGATGATGGTATAGAGAAATTTGATAGGTTTTATGTTTGCTTAGCACCACTAAGGAAAATGTGGCTTGCGGATTGTCGTCCAATCATTGGAATAGATGGTTGTTTCTTGAAAAATAATGTGAAAGGGCAGCTCTTGGCAGCTATTGGAAGAGACGCCAATAACCAATTCTACTCGGTTGCTTGGTGTATAGTGCCGATAGAAAACGCAGATAGTTGGATCTGGTTTATTAGGTTACTGAAAATGGACTTGAACATTGGTTTGTTTGCTTATATGTTTGGTTTGTGTTCTAATATGGTTGCTTCTTGATTGCAGGGTTTATTAATAGCTGTTGAACAAGAGTTGCCTAAAGTAGAGCACCGTATGTGTGCACGCCACATATATGGTAATCTTAGGAGAGTTTATCCAGGGTAAGAGTTGCCTAAAGTCTTATTTTGGGCCGTTGCAAAGAGTTTTAATCTTGCTGAGTATGAGAGAGCCATTTTAGAATTGAAGAATTTTGACAAGGGTGTGTATGAAGCAGTGATGATGAAGAATCCGAGAAACTGTAGTCGTGATTTCTTCACTTGCACATCAATGTGTGAAGATGTCTCCAACAACTTCTCTGTCCTATAATAATTCTATCAACAAAGCACGAGAGATGCCACTAGTAGAGATGTTGGAGAGTATTAGACGTCAATGTATGATGCGTAATGCTATGAGGAAGAAAAAGGCTATGAGACATCAAGGAAAGTTTAGTTTGAAAGTGGCTAAAACAATTGCAGAAGAACAGCTACACCGGAAGTATTGCCAAGTAATCCCTTGTGGTAATGGCCATTATGAGGTAACTGAGCATGGCCAAGGTTTTAGAGTTGATATGAATGCAAAAACATGTGCATGTAGGAGATGGAGTATGACAGGGATACCTTGTCGACATGTATTGTGTATAATCTTGCAGAAAAAGCTAAAGCCTGAGGATTTTGTTGTCACAGATTGGTATTTGACTACAAGATGGGTAAAACAATACAGTGAGACATTAATGGGAGTTAATGGAATTGGGTTTTGGGAAAAATCTGGGGAATCAACAGTTGAACCACCACCAAGGGAAGTAGGCAAAGGTCCCAAGAAGAAGCAGAAAAGAATAAAGGGGAAAAATGAGTCCCCACAGAAGAAGAAGAAGAATAAGAAGAAGCAAAAAGGGACAGAAGCTGATGAACCGCCTCAGAAAAAGCAAAAATTGACTAGAGAAGGAATGACTCTTCATTGTGGACGTTGTGGAGCACCAGGCCATAATATATCGAGGTGTAACAGAATGGGAGTCCCGGTTAAAATGCGACCAAAGAAGCAACCAGAGGCTGGTCCAAGCCAAGCAAGTCAATCTACTCAAGGAACTCAAGCTACTCAAGCAAGTCAAGCTACTCAA